TCTATGCACCAGACATAAGAAAATAAGTTAATATAAAACTCCGTGAAGATATCTAGGAGAGCCATCTCTAATAACAGTAAAAGCATATATAATAGTGAATTCCCCCGAGGGACCCAGTTAAGAATAGATCCACCCAGGAAATAGATGAATTGAATGTATTTAACCTGGGAACACTCCCAGAAGCAGCTCCTAGAAGAAAGAAAAGACTCAAGTAAACCACCCCCTACCTGTCAGGGAACTGAGGACAGAATTAGGGAAAACTAAATCTCAAGTCCCCCAGAGACTCCTTCACAGACAAAAACAGAACCACATCAAACATGACTAATTTTTCAAGAGATAGTAAGATTCGTCAAAGACAATAAGGTCAACAGAAAGTACGAACGTAACGACACAGCACATGTCTTCCCAAACACCACAAAAGTATAGGATAATCTGGGGTTAGAGACTACAGAGAAGAAGTGAGAAGTGGAATCCGGAGCATTCTCCTCGAGGCTATAAGTTAGAATAACCAACACCAGCACAAAAGACGGAGGATCTCCTCTTTCAACATCCAAACTACACACCGAAGTCATAACATAATGAAAGAAAACTCTCTAAGTCTTACAGAAGAATAACCCAAGGGGCCACATCCCCAGGGAGAATCTAGTCTCCAGTATACACTAGTGAGAAGCGAAATTAAAAAACACGTCCCAGGCAGGGAGTGTGCATGAAAGAATTAGTTACAACTCAACTAACAGAAGTGATCAGGTTACCGGAAGGGGTCCAAACCCAGCAGAGGAACAAACAATCAGCAGAGTGAGGCAAAAAGAGGTCAAAGACAAATAAAGAACGAAACAGAACCACCAGAAGAAAACCAAAAATAGTAAAAGAAACAACAATCTTGCAGCAGACCAAAAACTGCCACAACTATCTATCCAAACCAGAAATTTCTAAAAAGATCCCAAAGGGACAAGAGCCAAATGAAACCGAACCACGGACCTGAGACAAAAATATCATAAGTCAATTCCCCACAAGTGAGACTTGGGAGTAGAAATAGGACAGGAAGATGAAGCCCCCCCCCAGAGTCAGAAGCACAAGAACTCTGCAGAGAGAAACTGACTAATCTCCAAGGAAACTGCCCAGCAGTAAAATATATGGCTGAAGCACATTAGCAGCCCACAGGAACTCAGTCATCTCAGAAAAAGTTCTATAGAAGCCAAATCATAACATCCGGCGACGAAGTGAAATAAATGTCTTAGGAGACGCTGATATAAGAAAACAGCAAGAAGCTACCTCCCATACCTAAGGCCACAATGGGAATGAACACAGGTAACAGAAGCTGCGTGCCCAACCAAGGCCTTAGTTCACAATTGGGGACTGACTAAGAGGGATAAATTTCAATCGTAAATCACAAATAGGAAACCGAGGTCCAGAAGGAGGGCAAAATGAGAACAAATACCGACTAGTCCCCCAAGTCCAAAGCAACCAGCCCTAAGGCAGGGACAGGATAAAGCCAATAACCGCGAGGGGACCCCAAAGGACCCTAAAAACCCAACTCCATATGAATAAGGGGACAGCAATCCGCCAAAATAGCTCAAAGGTAAGAGGGGGGATGAAGATGAGGAACAGATCAACCAGTAAGGAAGGAGCTAAAGGTTCAAGCAAAGACTAGAGACTCCCAAACGTTCGCAAAGGATCGGCAGACTTAGAACCCGTGATGGAAGGAGATGAAGCATAGTAACTAAATCATAATAAGAAAGGGAGTAGCTGACACAACCAAGGAGTAGAAATAGTCAAAGCATTAAACCAATCATCACAGACACCAGAGAATCTCCAGTACTAGAAAGGAAAGGAAGTATTGGATTCATTCTTGAACAACCTTCCCTAAAATCAAAAATTCGGGTTCCCGAAATAGTTTGCTGATCAATAAATGAATAGCCACTGTATTTGAATAAATAAAAATAGAAATCACACATGGCCGAAGAAATCCACAAGACGGGAAAAAGGAAATCCCACGTGAAATTTCAAGAGTCCAAGCCAAGGACGTAATAATCAACGCGCCGCTCAACACAAAGAAGAAGTAAATATAAAGAAGCTCAAGATACCAAATTAGGAGACTTGTAATAAATTGGTTCCATCATCATTCTCTAAGTAAAAAGAACTTCCCTAAAGAAAAAGCCAGGGTCCCAGATGTCCCTTAGGGCCTTATCAGCGTAAGACGAAGTTCCTCAAAGCACTTGAGCCCAGGTGACCAGACAAGTTTAACAGCACATGAGTTTCTGTCGGGGTTAAGAGGTAGAGTCCCCTGGCGTTCAGGGGGTTCGGACTAATCCTGCAGAAGTTAAGGTCATAAAGAGACCCCAGGGGGGACACCACAACCCAGGTCAGGAGGGGCATCCCTGACTTAATAAGTCGCTTAACAGCTAAGAATGGATTCAAAACAACTGACGGGCGAATACGAAATCTATTAGGGCAAGACACAACAAATGAGAAGAGGGATTAAGGATCATTGATAGGGAGGAGGCAAACTCATCCTCGTCAAATGGGATTTATCATCAACCCCGAAAATGGGGGAATTCTACAAACTAAAAAGAAGTTTCTAATGGACGAAGGACCAGAGGATATGAACTATCCATCCGTTCTCCTCCGAGGAGTTCTCTTACATGAGAAAATGGGGCCAGCTATTAGCGGGGATCCCAGCGCCCACCGAGAAGAGAAAATCATATAGGAGATGAACTTCAACAAAAGACTTCTACCAGACATGAGGGGAGAAACACGTAATTGAATATTAGAATGAGTAGGTAGGAGTCGGCATTGCCGAAGCAAGTCAGCAAGCAGAATGGAAGAAGTTGTATAGTGGGAATTAATATGAAGTATTATATATCGATACGAATGAGTATTAGATAAAGTCAAAAGGCGCAAAAGGCAACCAAGCACCACAACAATTATAACGTCATTTCCGGGTATGCAGGGAGCTGCACCAACTTGCAGGGGAAAAAAGTTGCAAGGCTCTTTTGAAGTCTAACGGCCCATTAGAAAGCATGAGTCTTAGTTTAGGAGGGAACAGTCCTTCTTGAGTCATGGTGAATTTTAAGTATTCTTTCTGTTAAACACCTCAGAGGAGCAAAAGTTAGAAACCAATTTGAGAGGTCCCAGGGAAGGCATCCGAGAATACTAGGAGAAATTCACTAGAGGAATAAGTATGAGCCGGCGGCTCTACTGGGCAGTTTTTACATAATTCATCTTAAAATTATCATCCAATGAGCAAATAAAAAGGGAGCAGATAGGGAGATGGGAGGAGGTAGATAAATAACTAATAGCAGAGTAGTAGAAAGAGAAAAAAGGGGAGGAGTTTCTTCAGGGATGCAAATCATAGGAGGATATTATAAGTGAGAAGTCTAGTTAAAATATCCACTTGGGCGAGATTCTTGCCGAAAAATTCTATCAAAGAATAAAGCCGGGAGAAATAGAGTAGCAGAATTCAGCCCTCAGGAAAAAAACGGAAAGAGATAGAAGCGTGTCCTAAGGAGAAGCCCCACCTAAGGAGAAGTTATTAACTCCCCAAATGCACGGGATATCCGACGGGTGATATCTCAACTGAAGACTACGAAGGAGCTTCCAATAATTTCTAAGAAGAAATTAGAGTATATAGAATCAAAATCTGTCCCGAAATCCCCAGACGATGAGTAATGGATTTCCTTTAAACAAATATATGAACTTCTTGAGGGAACAATATCCGAAGGGGGGTTGTCCAAGGGAAGAGACTGAAGGAAAATTGAGACTATGTAAAATAAGGAAAGAGTCTTATAATCACGACTCACCAGAATTCTGGAAAAGACCTTATGAAACAACAGGGAGGAATAAGGATGTTGACAGAATAATAAGGGCAAGTGGTAGTATCTGTAGAGCTATGGAGCAATGGACAATAAATTTGGAAGCCATCAAAGAGTCCAATAATGAGTTCAAGCAAAAGGAAGGTTGTGATATAGATGGAATGGGCGAGAGATTGAGTGGAGGGGGAGAAAAGGGAACCTGCCAGCATCGAGCACGGGGGGGACACTGGGCATCATATAGTCAAAGCAGTGGTTTATTATCGGATGAGATTTCTGGGAGGAATTTAAGGGTTTGTCAGGATATAGTTGAAGTGATAATAAGTGCTTATAAGTTCACAACCCCTAAGAGATTATGGGAAAGAGAAAAAATAGACGAAGGGGACCGTTGTGAAATCGTATATCAGAAGTTGAGAGAATGGGGTGGACAGGATATTGCCGAACTGATCATGGACCATTGGTATACCTCTGGGAGCAGTTTGACAATCAGTTCCGAGTCGTATAAGTTCCAGGGGAAAGATTTCTTTGAGTTAATCCAGGAGATTCTCTGGGGTACTAATGAGGGGGAAAAAGAACTAGGATGTAGGAGGTGTGAACGTAACGAGGGGGAAATAGAGGTTACCAGTAAGGTATGGTGTGAGACGCAGTTACAAGAGGAGTTAGGGACAGATAAATTACCGGGAAAAGAGGAAGGAGGAGCTGAGTCAGGCACGCTGGATGAATATCAGAGGGCGTCCAAACCGGTAACAGACAAAGGACGAAAATCCCACATGGAGGATATAGACGTATTAAGAGTCCAAGCCGGGGGGGAAAGGGGCTCCCGAGATAACGAGCAGGGAGTCAATTCAGCGGCAAGTGGGTTGTTTCAGCTACCATCAAAGATCGCTCCCGGGTCTTCTAAAGGAAAAGGGACGTTATTATCAGGTCTGATAGGAGGGGGAGTATCGTTTATTTTAGGAGTTATCGCGACATATGGTGTCTATAGGATCTTTAGTGGTCCGAGGAGGCGGGGGAGGGATGCTAAAATACAAGACGGCCCGCCGTCTATAGCCTATGGAGTCTTAAGGGGGGAGAGGACTGATGTTGTGTTGAACCAGGATATTCGTTAAGACAGAAATAGAAACTCTCCGAATTCCATCGTTTCATTCTCATCGTCATTTTGAGAATGTTTCAGGCCGGGTGTCTGCTTCGAAGGTTAAGAATCAGGAGGTTAGGGCTCTAGTCCAGGGTCTCAGATTCGACTTCTGGAGTTCAGGGTCTAGGATTCAAGGTTCAGGGTTCAGGGTTTAAGATTTCAAGGTTTAGGTTTTAGGGTTTGGCTTCAGGGTTTAGTTTTTCGGTTCATAGTTTAGGGTTCAGGTTTCAGGGTTCAGGCTTGAGGGTTTAGTTCTCAGGTTTTATCGTCATGGGTTCAGGCTTCAGGGTTTAGTTTTTGGGTTCATAGTTTAGGGTTCAGGTTTCAGGGTTCAGGCTTGAGGGTTTAGAACTCAGGTTTTATCGTTATGGGTTCAGGCTTTATCGTTTAGGGTTTAGAGTTCAGCGTGTAGGATTTAGGGCATATGCCTTTTGCTGTACGGTTTCGTGCTCAGGTTTCTGGGTTTAGGAGATAGTTTTTAGAGTTGGGGCTTTAGGTTCTATCTCTTAGGTGTCAGGTTCTATTCTTAGCTTTCAGGGGTTTTGTTTTGGCCTTAGGGTTTAGGGTTTAGCATTCAGGGAGTACGGTTAAGGAGCTACGTCGCGACTTATACCAATTAGGTTTTATGGATCAGGGCTTACTCCTTATGTGAGTATGGTTTAGGTTTAGGTGTTGTCGTCTAGATTTTATGGGCGTTGGTTCAGGGGGCCTGCCTCTAGTCCTCAGATTTCGGGCTAGGGTTCAGGGTTTAGTAGGCATCTTTGTTGGGATCACGGTTTAGTCTTTAACCATAAGGAGTTAGGGCTTAGTGGCCATCTCTAGGCGTTAACTTTTGACGGTTTACGTTTTACGGAGTATGTCTAGGCTTCAGGGTCTAGTGTTTATGGGTTAGGGTCAAGGGCTTAGGATTCAGGATTTTGGGTTTAATGTCTAGTTGTAGTTTTGAGGGTTCTGCGGTCAGGGTTCATGTTCTACTGCTTAGACTGTCTGGATTCAGGCCTCCGATTTTAGGTTCATTTTCAGCTATTCAAGTCCATGGGGGTCAGTGATCCTCACTCCCGTTCATTGTTTAGTTTTTAGACTTAGATCGTACACTTTATTCTTCAGGTTCCATATTCATTCCCTACGCCTGATAGTTCATGTATTAGCGTTCAATTTTCAGGCGTTGACCTTTAGTGGTTACTTTGCTGGGCTTATTTCCTATGATTGACTTCTTACCTCCTAGCTTCTAGCCTCCAGGGTTTAATTTTTAGTTTTCGGTCTCCACGGTTTAGGAGCCAGGGCGTATGGTTGTGCACTTAAGGATTATGCTTTAGTGGGTTGAGTTTCAAGTTTTTTTCTCTATGTCGTTCGCCTTTTGCTTTGAGGGGCTACGTTCAGGGCTAAGTTTGTAGCTCTCATATTTTAGAGTGAGTTGCCCGGAGTTAAGGTTTACCATTTGTCTTCTACTTGGAAAGTTCAAATTTGTACGATCGACTGTTTCCTGCCTATGGTCTGACAGTCTACGGCTTATTTTTAAGCCTGAACGTCAAGTTTTGACGTTTTTGGGTGTATGGCTGTATCCTCCACCCCGTTCTGTTTTGGAATTATCTTGTACCTATCAATCAGAACTGGTAGTACTTCCGTAAGTGGATTGCTATATATGCTTACTGGATTGAAGGTCCAAGTAAAAAATAAGCAGTAGTAACTTCATTCATAGTCCTGAAGACTCTAAAGATTCATGGATACTTGTTTGACAGCATAATGTTGATCTCTTTGTTTAATGATATTATAGCTATTGATTCTTAATAACCCAAATAACATTCGGAAGATGTTAAGAAACAAAAAGCTCATAATAGGAGCACAGGATCTGGCTAAGACTGGCTCATGTTCAGTTTTTAAATAATCAGGGAAGACTCCTGGCGCCAGTTTACTACAAGTATATAGATTTCCTCGCTCAGCAGAGTGCTTCATTATGTACATAATATTAGTACACATCCGTTGTATCACTCCTGGAAGTTTCTAAAGAATGCGAGAGTCTGCCTTAGTCAAGTGGACTACCTCTTTATCTTCTTGCATCCAGTAAGACCGGGTCAGGCTGAATCAAACATTATGTACAAATCCAATAATATGGTGCTACGATGGGTTGGGTCTCGTGCTCCGTGTCATCCTTCCCCCTCTTGTCTTTCTCCTTAGGAAATTAAATTTCCTTCCTACTCTTACTCCTCGTACCTGATAATTTATAGATACGGGGAAGGAGAATCCGCTACAGGACTATTTTATAAATACATGAAGTGCAGATTTCTCCTGTTTCATTTTCTGTTAAAAAGACATTCCCTGATTAGAGAATTGAACCTCGCCCCCTTCTGCCTGTTAGTCGTTCGGCGTGGGGAGGCTTATAGAGATCATATATAGCTATATATAGACGGAACTTTGTCTGGTTCGTATTATTTCTCATCCAGAGAAATCTATCTGGTACAAGGGGATCATCCAGAGATTTGGTATCACAAGTTTCCGTGCTGAAGCCGCGTACACTTACAATTTCGATAGCTACTCTTCCTCTTTCTGTTCATAGGGATCATTCACCGAATTAACTGTTTAAACTTTCCACAGAACATGAAGTCGGAACTGGTCATATCATTATACTCTTAAGCATATCATGATATTATTTCTGTGGGAATGAACTAATGCCGTGGGGCAAGAGAATTGATTTGATCAAATAAAAATACACCATAATTTCATAGGTATTATCTTTGCGGGGTATAAAAGAAAAGAAGAAAACATATACGGCTTAGATGTGCGCCAGTAAGAGAGATATAAGGATCCACTGTTGTAGTTAATCCATCATTGAGGATACTTAAGGAAGAATTGGTTCATCTTCAATATCTTCTCGATATAAGGAAGTGGCAACGAATGATTTGTCTGAAGAAACTATATCGTGAGAAGTAGAGTGGAATACCCCATTTCTTTAGCTGGACATAGGCAGTGCTGCATCTGACACTCTTCCGCCGAAGTGTTGTTAACAGGTATCCCCAAATCGTTTTTTTTTTTTGTCGGTTACTATTCTCTCAAGCTCCCTACTCAGAAATAGGATCTTTCCTTCAGTCTCGAGAGTCCCCCCTTTGCTCTGGTTCAACTTAAGTTTAGGACTTGCGTCATAAAGTAGTTATTCTGACATCCCCGTACTTGCATGTTCTAATATTTGCTGTTGAATGGATTACGGAACCGTCTCGCCCCAATCCTCGTCTGCTCCACAGACAGTGTGCACTCTCCCATTTCTCCATGAAATCAATTAATAGGACAGATGACGTTGGCATGTTGTCTATCGTATATGAAATGATCACTGAGTAGATATCTGTGGTACTCCCCTAAAGAAAACACAAAGTCTAAATAATAAAAAAAACGAAGGATAACGCGGCGGCATGTCAAGGGTTGTTTAGACGATCGCATGTTATGTGGTGCCATTCCTCTAACAATGACTGTTTGGAGAGGCATACGAAGGAAATCAGAAATATCTGGAAGAAACTATAATGATGGAACAAATATTTAGGAAGCCATATGAGTATCATTTTGGATTACATATTGGTCTATTAATGCATCCAATGTGAGAATGTTTATAATATGTGTCTGCACTTTCATCCTCCTCCTCATCTTCTTTAAGACAGAGTAGAAAAAATACAAAAGAAGAGGAAGGGAAGGTGACAGTGATGAATGCCGACAAATGAATTAAAATATCGTTGTTGATCTCAGTAAAACACAGATTAAAATGGAAGTCACATGTTCCTCCTAATATCAGCCTAGAAAGAAAAGATAAAATATGTGCAGACTTAACAGCAGGGAGTCTGAACGGAAGTGAAAACAGAAACAGAGCGTGTGACACACATGAGAAGGGGCATATAATAATTCCACTGATAACCCCTCATAGAAATCCCTCATGAAGTCTCCTGATCCGTACCTTTAAAGACACCAGATTTCTCCTTTCTGGAAGCTAATAGAATGCGACCAGTGATTTTCTCTTTATTACACATGAAACATACTCGTGATCAGCTTCAGGAAAGTAGATGCGAGAGAAGAGAAAGAGATACTTGTTGTCATGACAAGAATAAATTATATAGCCATTTTAACTTCCTATACCAGAATCTGATTCCAGGAGTTATATTCCGGGTAAGTGATTAGGCATCCATATAGCTATATAGGTTTGCAGCATTTCGAAGATATCCAGGACACCCCTAAAATGGCAGTTGTTTCCTTATAATTTTACACCCCAGATGAAGGGGGTTGTAGCCACCAAATTAATGTAAAAATAGAAGAAGGGACTTACTCAAGGCAAGATACCATATTACAATACGAGACACAGTGGAAAATGTGATGTAGATAGCACGATAAGAAAAAAAATGGGACTAAATGTTCAATTCACAAACCGGCTTTGCGAGTTACGATCACACTGTAGCTATAGAGAACCCCCGCCATCGGTACAACATAGCATCCAATAATAATCAGTTAATTTGTTGAAGGAATCTGTCGAAATCTTGTCTCACATGTATTTCTCCACGCCTCATATACAATCCTTAAAACGAGGCTTACTGATACCGCTGAATGTTTGTCCATATTCGGATACTTTCAGAAGCACATAGAGATATTCTATGACCCCTAAGACAAGGAGTCCATAAGATACAGGAAAAACAGCTGTCAATGGGATGCCTACTAATAACGCTAATACTTCCAGTGTAAATGTAACCAGCATCGTTAAAAGGAGCATCAGATGATATAATTCAGTCCCCAGTAGCCAGTAGCTACTGTTCCTAATATTCGGTTGGTGTTTACCACTGCGTATGGAATTGTATACCTTATATGATAAGGAGGATGCGGGACAATGTAGAATTCTTCGACATGTATGTATCATTTCTGCTGCTGTGATCTTATGTACTGGATCTCACACCGAATTTATGACGGCGTGTTATTGCTTGATGATTATAGTACGGATTCTCCCGAATTCTTGCTGATGATTCCGGATTTTGAATATTGCGATACCTACTAAGATTCCTTCGTTCAGTCGCTGCTGTAGCGTATGCATTTTCCGCATTTCCCTTTGGAGGTCCAGGAGATATTTTGCTTGATGTTTTACTTCGGTGCTGAATGTTTTATTTCTCATTGATAAAGTCTCCTGGACAGCCACACTTAATTCTCTATGATATTCTATGATAATGTTGATTCGGGTAGTTAGAACCCTCTCTTTTATGTATCTAATCTTTTGTAGGATTTCCTTATTATGTGTAATCATAACGATTTGTATGTTCCGTATGTTGTGTATAAAAGAATTACACGGATTTACATTCCCTGATAATCCTCCTTTTGAGCTTTCACACATTATTGCTTCATTATTTATGAGTTCTTGTATAATATGCGCCGGCCAGCGCCTATCTAAAGTATCCCAAGTAGGGGTGAGACTTCGTCTCTGAAAATCCTCTATCAAAAACTCTTTACAGGAACTGTTAATATTGCCTTTATTTTTCAGAATATATGTATAATCCCTTCCGACATGAGATTCTGAAGCATATACTAATTTCAAGTGTCTCTGAACATGTGTCAATAATAGCCTAGTATTCCTGAGGCGCGCAGTACCAGTACTGTTATGGGTGGTTGCTACAACTGCATGGGCTGATCCCGCCAAGGACAAATTATGAGCAGGATTATAGTACATCATGCAAGACGATGTCTTCATGTCTTATAAGTATGATAAAGTCTTTCCTTCCATAATGAGGACGGAATAACTTTTGTCTATTTATAGGGGACATCTGATAGTTATGATGCCGTTATCGTACGCAAACCATAATAATACATAGGGTATCCTAGAAATTCCTTCCAAAATTCGGAATTCGATTATTCGATTCTTGCTTTTATTTCTCTTTGGTTGATGTCATGTTTCTCACCACATTATCCTATATGGGATATGCCCATATCGCTATATGTACTTCTCCATTTATATCTATACCAGCATGTTTGGATTTATTCATATATGAATATTTATAAAGATACATGCTTGTTCGCGTATAAGTATAGGGACTTATATATTCATATGGATTCATAATTATCGACATAG